TTCATACTAAAATGCAATTTACGTCATATGTGTCAAAGATGGTTTTATACTCCCCACTTGCTTGATTCTGAATTTTTTTTAAAAATAAACAAGATATAAGCAATGTGTCATTTTACCCCTATAGCCAACTTGTCCCGGTCTCCCCTACGGTTTTTAGTAAAAATAAAAAAATACCTGAACTATAGTGCATTATAATCAGCATTTATAATATACCTTAAATGTACATTCAATTTTTGTAATAAATTATGTTTATTTAACCATGATATTTTTATTGGAATACCATATCATTAGTGAAAAAAACATTTGTATAAAATTTTACCTTTACTTTTCGTATGCTAACTAGAATTTGACGAACCGCAAGGAGAGTTCGCGAGTTTCTTTAAAATTTATATACTTATATATTATTACTTTTAATTAAGAGTGTCAGTTCTTTATTTATAAAAATAAATTATATTTTCTATCTTTTTACAATTTTTTTAAAGAGTATATCAAGTTTCATACATCAATGTCCAACTATAATAATTATAATTTTTGGATTCTCTATGTAATACAACTGTGATTGTGTCTTCTTATATTTAATAATTTTAAAACTAGGAAGTAACAAAGGAAAAGTAAATCCCTTGAGAGTCAAACGCCGTTATTTGTACGTGAGTAGGCGAATTTCATTTAACTTTGATTTACATTGCAATACGAACTACAATTTGTACGTTTTGGCTCTACTTTGAACCATCTTTAACGACGTAATAAGAAATAAATGTAATAATCTTATATTTTCTGACTACTACAAGGTAATTGTCAAAAATTTATTATATATGATGAGCACAGTTTTTGAGTGAAAATATCATAAAAAATCAGCTAGTATTCATCAAATTTAAACTATAAGTGATAGAATTAACTAACAAAAGAAAAACGCAATCCACACAAAGTTCAGAGAACGTGAAATTAACAAATAAACCGCGTTTGTCTCTCAAGACCTACTTTTCTCTTGTTACTCCCTAATTTTAATATTGAGAGTCTGTAGTTAATTAATATATTTTTTAATAAAAATTCGTTTGGCTCAAATATTTGATAAGTACAAGGACTAAGAACCGTGATAGAGTGTTAATCCTTTAAATCTGTGATATATTTTTATTTTCAAACTACCGGCAAGAAAAATGTTATTGGCTTTCTCTCTCTCCCTTTTGTGGTGGCAAATGATGAGAAATTGGGGGGCGGGGAGGATAACAAAATCTTACTCGTTTAGATAAAAATCCAAAGTTGGAAAAAATTTTAAAACGGATCTACGTTATAAACAGAGGGGATTTCAAAAGTTTGTGAAACCTGATTTTTATCTAGCGTGACCCTTTTACCATATCAATATGCCATCGCACGCAATAAAAGGACTCTTGCGACCCAGCGTGACGGTTCTGGATGATAGATGTGCTAAACAGCGCATCAATATAAAAGAGATAACAGTAAATGCTGCGAATATACGATTCGATCGTAAATCTCCAAACGCCCCCGCATGCCAGCACAATCGCACACCTCTCGATTTCGTGTTTTTTCATCTTTGCGCATCAGATTTTATCTGCGTCTTTGTTCAGAAGAAAAAGAACGAAATCGTCGCGATAACAATAAACTTAATATCTAATTGTAAAACAAATAGAAATGCTAAAGATACAAACAATATTCGTGCATATTTTATCGATAAGCAATAAACTTGCAAAGGTCACATGAATAAAAGTAAAAAATATGACTTTAAAAAATGATACATTCTATTTACCGAATAATTTAAGTGCAACAGGTTTAGATAAAGTCACTTCTTATTTCGGATAGTCGGATGTTGTGGATGATTTAATTGATATTGGAAGCACATCCACTGCAGATTGAATAAAAATTTTTTCCAATTAAAAATTATGTTAAAAATAACTCTCGCAAATTACCGCAATCGATTTATTGCTTTGTAACTTTTCGCGTTTGCAATGAAAAATTTTATCATTTCTCTTGTGTTTTTTTAGTACTATTATATGCTGGCACACTTTTAAATCAATATATTAATATATAGAAGTTCCAATTAGTCAGAATATTTTTCTCTCGTGAAATGATATTCTCAATTAACTTATTTATTTGTAGCTTTTATACATACATGCCTTCTGTATTTATATCATATAATCTTATTATACGTACAAGTTGCCTCATAATAAATCTTTCACTTTTATTATTTTATGACAAAGTAATGCAACATTTTTTGCGTTTTTATTACGTACTGATAATGACAAATCGTTGGTAGACGTTAGTTATAGATCGAATAATTTACTTTCTTCCGCCAATACTTTTCATTGCACTGGAGACGAACTTTTAAATAATATTGATATTTATTCACGTTTACGAAATAAGGACCGTTTCTCAGAAACTGGATCGAATAAAAACTATTCTGCAGTTTCTGATATTGACGAGGCGTGACAATAAAAACCGCGCGGACGGTCCAATTATTTAAGTGTCGATTTAAGGTCTCTGTTGCGCAAATCGTTGCAACGATCTCCTCTTCTATCTGTGAAATACGTCATGTTCGATCACGGTTCCGTAGGAATTACGTTGCCGGCGAGGTTCATAAATCATACGGGCCTCGACAGGGAAATAACGAAAAGCTAAGCCGATTTGCTAGGCGAAAGGGGGGACGAAAAATGACGCGCTCTTTCTCGTAAGCCCTTTTCATGCCAACACGTCGAAATGGAAAGGTTGCAACAAGTGAGGTTCGAATCCGACAGATACAGTCAACCCGAATTATTTGCTGCTTGCGAAATATCAACGATGCGGATTGCAAAATATTTGTCATTCTTTCATCATAACAGTTTAATTCGGATTTATTGTATATCCAAAATTTCATTTTCCTTGTTCGACACTTTTATAGTTTTCCTTTACATATATTGTATTACGATCACGCTTACAAGTAAAGACAAGTAAAGACATACACATAATGAAATGAAATAGAATCTATTGTCTATAAAAAGATTGTAATAATAAAATCCTCAATATTGACTCCGAAAACAGTGTAAAATATTACTGCGGTATAGTTTCCGCAAGGTAAATTTCTATTAAATTACACGATTACGCTTTAATTGCCTCTCGCTATCTTGTTGACTATTGATATTTTGTAGAATTTTGCACGATTAATCGAAATGCAATCAGATAGCTCGCGAGAGTAGAGTTACGCAAAATGCGTCATCCGTGCGCGGCTGACATTTTGCAAATGTTGTCAGTTCACATTAGACTAACGCGAGGGGTATTATCGCGTTTGCCTCGTGTTTGTTCATTGTGGCGCCGTATCAACGCGGTCTAGCAAAGTTAAACCGTGATTAATGGCCGACAGTGGAGCGCGTAATTAGGATGCAAAACCCATCGATATTTCGCGCGATGATGTGTAATCTACTCGAGTCCAAATGCGATTCGCGCGTCTGCGTTTCCCCGCAACTCCTTTTCTTTCGCTGATCTGGTACCGGGCTTTAAAGTGCGCCATCCCGAGCTACCAATGCGCGGAATATGTAGACACTTTATCCGGAGCGAGCAAACAACGCGAATAACAGTCTATCGGCATTTCGTCGTCCATGCGTGGGATATGCCATATGTTAAAAAACGCACCAACACTTTTCCGTGCCGATCGACGGCTTCCAATTTTGGAACTGACCTACTTTCGATCCGAATGGAGCGATAAGGGTTTCATGACCATTCATATATATAAATATATATATATATATGTGTGTGTGTATATATATACATACACTCTATACACACACACATATATATGGACGTAGCGATTCGCACGGTGTTAATCATAAAATATTCTATTCTCGTTCAAGGTTACGCTTGCTATTATCTGACAATGAGTGGGAAAACGAATCTTGAACCTTAGCGAATCTAGGACAGCTTGTCGCTGCGTTCGATAGATTTGCGATAATATATCTCGATACCTTACAATATTTATTTGCAAACTTTGTAAGACGAAGCGTAACTAAGGCTCTCTCTTTCTCCCCCCTCGTCTCCCCCCTCTCACTCACTCTCTCTCTCTCTCTCTGTGAATTTAATTTATATTTCTCCGCTTTGCATAGAATCTGTGATTTATATTTTTGATCCATATAACTCTCTATATTTCCTCTAACATACATGTTATTTATAACATATGTTTTTAATCAATGGTTATTAATTCAATGAATCATTAACATAATTACAATATAATTTCTCAGAGCATCCGTTTAAAAAGCTCTCGGAGACTATTGTCTTCGCGAGAGAACTGTAATCGTAAAGTAGTTGTAGATCAGAATCCAATCGGATATGTTAGAAGGTTTTAATTTCTTTAAAATAAAAAATCGCCCACCACCAGAGCCCGATCGATGAACTCGCCTATCGAAAAGTTACATCCGTCATTCGTCACTCGGTTTCACGTATGACATTTCGTGTCTTGCGCGAACTACGCCTCTGTTCTAATTCTCCCGCTCTAATTCCGGCAATCTCATTAGACACAATTACATTCCTCCTCGTCGGTTCAGAATCCCGACGCCCGTCCCCATACGCCAGCGTCGCGGCCTCTTATGTATAACGTTGACATAACAGGTTGTGCGTCACCAAGAGCGCGAACGCCTAATTCGCGTTTAATCGGCGAGGAGCGCGAAACGCACGTCAGTTATGACATTCGGAGTCTCCGCGATGCCTCGCCCTTCCTCGCGACTTGTCCGAGGTAACCGCCTCCGGAGCTTGATCCTCCGACATGTTGTCTCGCGCGCGTTCTTTTTTTTCTTTCTATTATCCCGCGGGAAAAGCACCGAGCCTCTGGGGAAAATGTCGCGGTCGCCGGTAGAATGACACGTGAAACGCGACGCGCGGGTGTAACAGCCGCGGATGTGCGAATCGAAGAGAGCGCGAGAAAGAGAAGAGAGGTTGCGCGCGGAAATGGAGAGCGGATGGGACGGGCGCGACGGAGGGACGACGCGCTGGCTGGTGAATGAACGAGAATTGGATTCACTAACCTGCCTGCCTGTCCGCCGAGTCTGGAAACTGTGGAGCAACTGAGAGAGATGGTAGCGTCGAGGCGACTGTCCGCGGCTCCACTGCCTTGGCCGTACGAAACCCACCCCCGCGACACCTTCTCTTTCTCCACCACCCCCGTCGTCGATCCTGCCACCACGCCGCCGGGGTCCCTGTTCCTTTCGCTAAACGGGGATGCTCTTGGGACCTCGCTGTCTCTCTCGCTCAGTTCATGCTCTCATTCGGCCCATTTCCTCTCTCTCCCTCCTATCCCTCCACCCCCTCTCTCCACCTCCCCTCCCCTCCTCCTCCTCCTCCTCCTCCTCCTCCTCTTCCTCCGTTTCCTACGTCACCCCGACCGCCGCGTCTCTATCTCGCTCTCTTTCGCTCGTTCTCCGTCACTCTCACCGCGACTCTCCCGTTTCTTTTTTTGGGAGATTCTGGGACTCCACCTTCGCGCAGGATTCCTCTCGGTCTGTCACCCCCTCCCTTGTGCCGCCCCGCTGCTGAATTTTCCCCTGAAAACCATCCTACGGACGAGTGTACGTCCGGGAAACTGCACCCCTCTCGGGCGCAGTGACGTAGTTGTCGGCCGGGGAGCCCTCCAAATTTTCGGCGGCAAAACGTCGAATAATTGATGGCCGATCATTAAGCCCGCTCGTTATTTCGAGGAGATGACGCAGGACTGCGAACGCCATGTTGTGGCTTTAGATTGTAAGGCAATTAGACGCATGTGCATGTGCATGCATTAAATCACTCGAATCTTCAAAGTTGAATCGATAGATGTATCCTGCTATTGTGCACTTTTTGAAACAGTTTAATGTAGAGAAAGTTCAGTCTAGCTAATCTCTTAATTGGATGCAAATTGGTCACGAAAAAGTATCTAAAAGAGAACGATATTCATAAGATTTTTTCGATATTAATGAGACAACGTAGCTCGTCGAGAAGTGGACGAATGAAAAGGGAGAAAAAAGATCTAACTGTTCTAGAATACCCAAAAGTCCTTTTTACATCATCGCCTTAATATAGTCCTCGAGCTTCGGAAGTTCGGGCGATCTTTCTCTCTAAAATTTGTGGAGTGAAAATACTGCCATGGAGTGTGAAAGGTTTACTCCATTGGAGTTAATATTCACTCTGTTGGAGGAAATATTCGCGCCAATATAGGGTGAACATTTCACTCCATGGCAGTATTTACACTCCACAAAATTTAGAGAGTTCGTTTTACGTTTTGGAAAACGCATGGCGAGAAATGATTTTCTGCGAGATACGTTTTCGCCGATAATCGTCAAAAAATCAGCGAATCCACGAGCAAAATATTGCAGAGCGCAACGACGTAAACGGAAATAAAACGTGATGTGCCCATTACGCCAGTTCCTCGAGGTCTGGGTAAGCACTGCATTATACGAAATGTCAAAGGCTAGCCTCACGTGGCTACATAGAGCGAACTTAATATTTTTTCGCCCACGTATTCTGGCCGGTCAGAAGAGAAATTGCGAAAAGAACTACCCTCTAGGGCCAATGGGCTCATAGAGCCGCTGTACGGAAAGTAATAGCTCCTTGTTGACCTAAGTAAATTACGACGTTGAAAATGTCGAAAAAGAAACAGTCGAGCGACATCCAGAAAGTTACTCGCCCCATTATGTACTTTCGTTTGAAACTGCAAGTTTCTCAGACGTTCCGTTCGCCCACGATTGAGCGTTGACTAATGTTGGCAATGTGGATTAAATATTATTTATCGGTTATATTTTCCACTACTAGTTAAATACACGACGCGTGCGCGATATAGAAAAATTAAGTTATATATTATACAAGTTATTTGATAACATTTTAGTCGCTAGAATCTAGTCGTAAATTTAGAGATTAGCTAACCTTACTCACTTATAAAGTGATATTTTTAATTTCTCAACGTTTTTTTAATATAAAGTCGACGTCCTTGATTTTGTCCTTATGCGTATTTTAATCGTATGGAAGAATTTTGCAATTTTATAAAGTCTATTTCACAAATGTGGTACAAATTATAAATTGGAAATTTTAAATACCAATATTTTTTTTATTAGACTTCTGAACTGAGTGTTTTAAGTACGAAAATGTTCTGCTATGCGGTCCGCAACTTATCCTGGTATTATTCTGTGCATAAAAGCCAATAACAAGAATTACAAGCGCAAAAACTATATTCGATTGTGTCGGCAAAAAGATGATTGAGGGATCCTCTTAAGGATGCAAAAAAGGGAGGATGTACTCACATCGATCAACCATTTCAAACGCAATTTACGAGATAATTGAAGTTCTGTTGAAACGGAGTTACATTAGACTCCGCATTTATGTTCGTTTCATTCTCGCGGCTCCTTAATTACATTAATGAATTTTCCGACGGCCGAGTGTTGAAGAGAAGCGGGTTTCGAGCTTGCAAACTTTGGGGCAAAAAACGCCAATGAGGCGGACAGACAGTAACGGAAGCTTATGGCGGCAAAGTGTTCGGGAACTTTTCCTATTTTAGTCGTCGCTTCGAAAAGGGATTTCCGTCCTAATCTTACCGTGAATGAAAGGACGGGCGAAAAGTTATAAAAGGCGCGATTGAATTGACGGCTGATCGATCTCGCGATCGTGCAGGCTGAGCGTGTCTAATTTATTTGTCTTGAAAAGAGAGTCACGCGGAGAATATATACAAAAATATTAGAGAATATGCAAAATATCTTATGGTTATTCACGCGATAAATCGAGTACATGGAGTACTCCAGGACTCGTTATTTATTGCGTAATCGCTATATCGGAAGATACATCGGACACTTTGCGAAAGCTGCAAAATTCATTCACGGTTGTGGGCTTAGGATTAAAGAGTATGACGCCATAAAGATAATCGGGGGCGATAAGCCGCAGCGAGCGAGCTATAACGATTTTGACTCCCAGATACTTGTTGCGCAGGCGAGCTGAAACTTAGCGTCTTTAAGCTCTATTGACTACAACTAGGCCGTACCTCCTGCCCCCGAAAAAAGCCCGGGTGGCTAGGTTTAAATTTCGCAGCGATACACGAATCTTTTGATGAAATAAAGATTTCACCTATTGACCAATTAACTGTGTGTTATTGAATATTGTTATGTACTTTAACAGTGATGTTTTATTTATTCAGCGTCACGAAGGTGAGCACATCCCGTTGTAAATTATCGAGGAGTTGTGGTATACCGATTTGCCTAACCGGCGTTACTAGGCATTTTTTGGGCATTAGATCTTGCTGGGGCTGTAAAGGTAAAATGAGACAAAACAAGATAAATAAGATAAAATAAGATAGCAGGATAAAATAATGCCCACTGGGCATTAGTAGGCATTGGTGTACATGATTTTGGTGTCGGTGTACAGCGATATACCCTTTGCAAATTATAATGATTGCGCGATTATGATCTTCGGGGAATATAAACGCCTAAACGCCTAAACGCCTGAACGCCTACGCGCTTAATATAGCACAGCATGAACGAATCGTTACAACGTTAGTTATTGCGAGGAATGAAACGAGATATATGTGACAATGCCGGATCTATTAATATTGAATTGGAAGTGTACGCTGTCAGCAGGAAAATTAGAGCGATGTAAATCGCGAGATTATATCAGCAATTATTTCACATACAGACGTCACGACGAGAATAACTTTAGAAAATATTTAAGATATTATTTGTTGCGAGACAACAAAGGTATAACATTAATTTACATTATAATAAAAATTCAATATAAAATTTAATATGGTATCGCGATTGATTCTATTTCGCACGACAATAAAGCCAAGCAAAGTTATTTCGAATGAGATGTGGTATTATGTCGTTTTAAATGTGATTTGCACTACAAGTTTGTATCTCAGACTTCACATAATAATAAGTTTGAAAAGCGTGCAGTTGTATATTGTGCAGCTAAACATTTTCTTTTATTACAAAAAGACTTGAAAATAATACTCGTGTCATTAAAAATAGCTTTTATAAGATTATCATTGGCTGCTGTGAGGAGTAATGTAATTTGGTAAGGATAAAAGTGATGTATATTGGTGGGACAAAATCTATCTGTTTCATCTAATGTCGTCAACTCCATTTGATATATACATGTATGCTATCAATATGCTGAAATGTAAATTGCTACGATTATATGAATTGCCATATCTTGCCTGGTAAAACCGCAGCCCTTATTTAGTAAAAACAAAAGGAACACGCGTTAATTTGCTTCGCCCATTAAGTCAAATAGTTTTAGCCGTTTTCTATCGCGAGAAGAAAGGGCATCGGCACAATGTCGATCGCGCGAGTAATTACGACCAAACGGCAAATGAATCAGAAAAGTTTCTCGCATCGACAATTTCTCTCATGGGTGCTCGCATCGAAATACGAATCTCTCTCGTAAAATAGGGCTTTGTGCTTCACACCTGACGCCATTATAGGCGGACAATGTATGTGTGTCGTGTCAACAATGGGTGTCACGCCGTAGTGACGCACATTGTGCTACCCTGGAAGTCTTCTCGAAATAGTCCGATAAATCGGATCGAGCAAGTTACAGATCCCGGATAATCGAATGTAGGCGGCAATTAATGGGAAATTAAGATAAATCGTTTGCCTGTTAATTCTCTTTTTTTTCGTCAACAGTCTTTTTAGGATGATGCAGTACCGCAAATGTTGCCACAAATAGCAAAGTAGGAAAAATTTTATATTTTACTAACGCGTAAGTTATGTGATACGTTGAAAGAATTAATGTTGTATATCTATGATAAAAGTTACGCAAAAGAGATTCCTTTTTTTTGATATTAAGGAAATGAGGTTTATAATATAATATGTATTCTAGAACACTCGTTCTTTTACCAAATTTTGCTACTGCGAACACGTTTTGTGAATCTATAATGTATTTCATTATCGAAATGAATTTCTATGCGCAAAATTCTAATTAAATTAATTAATCAGTCTGTTAAAGAATGGGTTCTTTAATAAGTCTGATCGTGAAGGGTCCGCTAGAGACCTCTTCGATCCTCAATAATTGCTTCGCAGACGAGAAACACAAATGCAGATTTGAGTTTGAGAAAATTGCATAGTGCCGATGCATCAATATGCAAAATCTCGGTAA